ACTATCATATCACAGGGCCTGCGAAAGAAAGAGGAGATGCACACACCCCTCAGCACTGCATCACCAGTGTCCAGCTGTGACTGCAACAGTGGGACAACAGGAACCTGTACCTGCCAGAAATGGTATATGGTTCCAATATAGAAACAAGCCAATAAACACTAAAAATAACTTATTACATACAGTATATTTAAATCAACAGTCAAATATACATTGAGATATGCTTCATGCAAATGCCTTGGGGCACTCTCCCATAAAAAACATTTTTATATATACAACATATAAATACCACACAGTATTTAAATGCTGAGTCTACCAAGTGATTATCTCATTTACTCTTCTTGACAAACAAAACTCTTCTGGGAAAAAGTCAGTGACGTTACAGTTGAGAATAGAGTCCAGCAAGACAAAAACCACAGCAATGCCAGCAGAGGACTATAGGACAGATGTGGTACTGGCTTAAATGGAAAACTTGTGCTTGAGGTGCCATGTAGTGACAGCAAAAGATTGAAGGATAGGTTTCATCCTGAGCACCATGAAGATAAAATATTGCTACCAGGCAGACCTCTATAGATATTAATGGGACGATGGGAGAGGCAATGATGGAGACAATGTGAAGGAAAAGCACCTGGAAAGTGTTAACAAGACACAACAGGGATGAGGAAAGCTAGCAAAATTGTACGATTTTCCCAGCTGCTAATGAAAGAAATTTGCAGTGTTATCCTAATTCTGAGAAATTAAAGGAGAGGATAGTATTGGGCACAATGAAGTGCCTTCCTTGGAGGTGAAGGCTAATTAATGGCTGTGGGACTCAGGAGAGAATTTAGCTTTTGTCTGAATCCTGAGTTCTCATTCTTCACTCATGGCCAAGATCATATTTTTGTCTTATTACTCAAAGAGATAAGCCCATGCTGGGTACGATGTTACAGGGGATAGACACCTCCAGAGTATTTATTTATTTGATGGTCACCTATTACAGCCAGGAGGAAACACAAGTGCCAGGAGCTAACGTCCTCACTTCCTCACACCTGCAGCTGCTCAAGGAGGTGTGGTTTCTGTTAAACCACTTCTGTTAAGAAAAACCCAACTATTTGCTTTCTAATTTTCTAGGTAGAAGAGCAACTAACAGGTCCAAATGGAGCTTCATAACACCCATCAGACTCCTGGGTCTCCTTTTCAACTTTTTTCAACCTCAGCTGCCTAATACTCACTGGATGTGTAACATGGTGATCATATAGAATCATACAATCATAGAATTGTTAGGGTTGGAAAGGACCTTAAGATCATATAGTTTATTGTTGTGCAGGATCATATGGACTACCACAGCTTACCTGCATCTCTTCCAAGCAGCAGACTTCCTTCTGCTTCATCTGTGCTACCTTGCAGGATTCTGGGTTTTATGTCCCTATGATGGGCAGTACCCAAATACCACACAGGTTCCTAAATTAGGATGAAAAAAGTCTCAGTGTTGGACTTCTACCTGCCTTCTACAAGCACTGGATTTTCCCTGCTCTGTGTACAAAGACCTGTCTAGTGACAGTGCTTAGCTCAGGCTGTTCAGCTCTGCAGAGATGTCAAAATTCATCCTCCCATGGCAAACTCGGGAGCAGAGCAAGGGGAAGAAAATCTCACCCTCAGCCTTCTACTCTGGGGGAGCAGCACAGGGAGAGCCCAGCCAGCAGCTCTGCTCTTACACCCTCATTTGTACAGATGGCTTGTGTGGAGCCGAGAGGGATTGTAACACTAGAAGAGATGAATGGTATCTACCAAGTTCTTTATCCAGGCTACAGTATTGACCTATATCTGCTTCATAAAGGTGAAAAAACATGGATAGCTGTGTGGGTTGAGCAAGAACATCTTCCTGCTGCCAGCTGGCAAACAGCTTGGGGATTACAGCATGAGGATTAATAGCCTTTGTCATTTGTAAGTGCAGATGCTAACCTTACTCATATGACAGACTGATCTTCTTTGGATTCTGTGCCTGTTTGCTGTTCCAGAAAGATGACCTTGGGCTGCTGTGAGAGACAAAATATTTACACATTCATTTCTTAGGGCCTACAGCGTAGGCTGCAGGAAGACACAAGCTCACTCAGCACTGAGAAAAAAGGAGGCAAAAAAAAAAAGCTGTATGCCTTCGGCTTGGAATCATGCAGAGAAACTGGGTTTTAGCTCAGGCTTCACGCCAGTGCAGCCCGGCTGTGCTGCTTTCTGGAGTACAGAGCGAGCAAACCCCCAGCTCTACAGCAGCACAAGCACACTGAGAGCCTTTTCTCCCCACCACCTTCCTGGCCACTGCTTGGGGTTTTCATTTCGTGCCTGACAGCTTGTTAAATCTGCACCAGATTCTGAATAAACACCCAAACCACCTATGCTGAGTTACCCTGTACGTCTTTCCAAGCTTTAGGATCTGTCAGCTTCTGGCTGCTTTTCTCACAGAAGCACATCAGCTGGGAGCCAGCATCACTGCCTGGGGTATGAGAATGTATTTGCTGGGGTAGCGCACACTGAAGGGAAAAAACTGCCTCATTCCAAGTGTGAGTTCTTCCTCAAACCCTGGCTGCTTTCTTCCCCTTCAAACCATAGTCACAAACATCACACTTAGTACATTTTAAATGGAAAGTGGATGTTCCTGCATACTAATTCCTTCAGGCTCTGTTGTCCTTTTACAGAGCATGATGCTATGTAAAAAAAGAAAGATGAAAGCAAGTAGAGAACAGGTTGTTTCCTCTGTCATTAACGCAGTCCACACTGCAGTGAACGGGTGTCACTCCTTCATAACTATTAAAGTACCACAGCCCAGCCAACAAGCTTCAAACTTCACAAGGACTAGAAAGCAGAACAGCAAGATCTTGATCATGAACATCATAACTTTAAGACAACCCCTCCAGGAGTCAGCTCCCTTGGAGCCTTGGGGATAATGTGATAGAGAAGGCCACATTCTTTGCTCACCCTTTCTGTCCACCTTTTGTGCTAAAGGGCAGAAGGCAGTTGAGAAGCCGAGAGATGAAGTGCTGTGATCACACAGATTAAAGATGATGATAAATATGGGAGCAGAAAGAAAGCTCTGCAGGCATGCTAGCTCCAAGGTCATCACCAGCTTCAGCTGAAGGAGAAAATGAGGAAATGCCTGCTCCTCTGCCAAGCTGCCACCTTCAGCTTTGTGCTGGAGAAATGATCAATAGTGACTAGCAGCCTTTGGTTCTGCGCATCCAAGAACATCTAAAGACATTCATGACTGAAGATCAGTCTATTATGTAAAGCACCAAATAACTTATCGGGATCTGCAGCCGCTAAATATATACCCAAGTATTGTTCATGTGCCCCAGGAGCTGCACGACCCACTTTACCCCTCAAGGGAAAGAGAGACAAGCCAGAGCGACAGGAGAGAGCAGCAGGGTCCAGGTAATTAAAGACATTGGTAAAAAGGAAACCCAAACAGAACAAACGATGTAGCAGACCATCCAGACAAAGCCTTTACAAATGGGCACTTCAGTAAGCTGTAGCTGTAGCTCAGTGGGCTAAAAGAGGTACTCATTCCTGTGGGCATCAGTTGAAAGTCACCATTATTATGGGGAACATAAACATGGTGAGATCATTCTGTTCTGTTGTCGATACACATTAAAAATGAAAAATAAAACATGAGCAGAGTGCCTGGCAGGACAGGGGCATGCTGGCTGGAGAGAGACCAAGGAAGGAACAGACTGCAACTAGCTGAACGATGCTGCTCAAGATAGAGAGATGTGTTCAGAGCACTTGCCCACAATATTCTGGGCTTATGCCAGTGCATTTAGTTCCTTTCCACACAATGGTTTTGTGGGTTTTCAGGCTGTGATTTTTATTTTATTTTTCTCTCTCAAGAGAAGAAAATTCAAATAAGCTATAAGGGGATTCCAGACAGTGGTGTTAGAAGGGGATGAATTACCCTAGAAAACAAGAGTGCATTAGGAAACCTCTATTATCTGGACTTGCAAGTCCCAAGCATTTCCAGAACCAGGTCAGCCATTTCTTTCCGGCTTGCTAAACTCCCCATGGCCCTCCCACATCTCTTCTCCCCATCTGGATCCCCACAGAAGCAGAAGTCAGGCACCAGCATCAGCATCCATGTGGACAGAAGCCAGTGGAGCACAGGGCCTGAAGTCTACTGACCATTGCCAACTGCAAGCCAAGTACAAGTCAAGATTCCCAAGGAATGGCAATCTTTCTGGGAATTCAGTCTTGTCAACCACTTCCAAAAGAAACAAGGGGTTGAAGCAGTGATTGAAAGAGCAGTTGTATTTACATAAGACAATGAACACAAGGCCAGCCTGTATCAATATTAGCAATGGCTAATTCAATCTGTCAATGGGAAGAATATGAAATATGGAGGAGCTGCTGCAAAGCCTTCATTTCACAGACAGTTAATCCTAAAAAGAAAAATAAGCCACAAAAGCAAGAAAAATCAAGGTAGCAAGCAGGAACAACCCCAGCATCCAGCACTGTATTCATCCCAAGATTCCTAAATTCTTCCATTGCTTCAGTAGGAACATAATGAACCCCACAAATGCACTAACATTTTAAGCTGCAGCTCCAAAACCCCAATGTTCCCTTTGCGTCATGCCTTTTCCCTTCCCTCTAAAATTTCTAGTAAAAAATCAGGCCAAAGTGTTGTTGCAAAGATGCAGCAACCTGCTTCCATTGGAGAGCAAGGTTTTAATGTGCTCAGATATTAACTTACTCTAAGCAAGTTAGTTGCACTCGCTTTGCTCTGACTCCTGATACTCTACACTGAAATGATATATTAAAATTCAATTCCCTTAATGCTGTATCTTCAGAAAAGATCTTGATGTGAAAATGGCATGAAAGTCCAAAACCAGTTTACTTCATCATTTCTTAGGAGTATCTTTTTCACTCTTTTTAATCACACTGTTATAAATCTGGGTTATCTCCAGTTCACTGCTGAAACATATTATCAGCTTATACTTTTCCCTTAGCTAATCATGAAACATAAGCAATACTTCACAGGCTCAAGAGGTTATGAAGAGAACCTCACTAAGTTTATTATACATACACATCCCAGATAATAAAATTAATTATAAACACTTGTATACACATTTTATGCAGTTCAGGAAAAAAGACGCAGAGACTGGAAAACAACTGAAATCAGCAAATGCATCTTTTCAATTGGGATGTTTCTTTACTTTTTTCCAGAATAAAAGTACATAATAAAAAACCATTTATATTCTGCTGGTTACCACTCACATGCTCATTTTCTCTTGCACTCAGCAACATTAACAGTGCCGTCAAAAATGTATTTACTTGCTGAGCTGTATTTGGGTTATTTGTGATACAAAGCCTCAGTAGTGCAAAGCAGATATTACACCAGCTTATCTAGGCAGTAAGGGCAACCCTCTTTCATAGGATACCCACCATCAGAAAAACGATGCTCAGACAGGTAAGTGATAAGAATATATAAAACCATGTCCTGTCAAATAATTTGTATCACCTATACCAGATGTCCTTCTGCATGCAGATTATTCTGTCTGCCTCACGAGGACAGACAAAGACTGTGTGTATGACAAGTGATAACCTGTATGTATCACACCACTGCCCGCAGGGTCTGGCTAGTCTGGATGTATATGATGTAAACCTGCACCGAGTATCAATTTTGGTCAAACAGCCAGTGCCAAAATTTGCATTAGTTAGATTTGCACAGCACCATTGAAGGGAAGGAGACACTGTGGTGCGGTAGGAGGCAGAATTTGGTGCCAGGTCTCAATAAATGACAAAACCAAAACATGAAGTGATTCAGCACAGACAAACCTTTTCAGCAAAATAATTCCTGTGTCTTGCTACCATCACCAGGAAAGGGGAGTTAATAGTATTTGAAGATCTCAGCACCTTACTGCCTACATACCACCACCACAGCGGAGGGATGAACACCCTCTGCTGTGTCACACACAACATTGCAACAGCTAACAACTGCTGAACTTTCAATAGTTGAGTAGCAGACTAAGACATGTCCCCTATCCATCATCTCCATAACTTCAAGTCACAGAGACAGGAAATAAGATTAAAATAGAAAATGACAATATAGTCTGTACCGTAACTACATAAAAGTATCATCACCTTCTCCAGCAAGCCTGCTCCTTGCATTGTTTTTAGTTAAAGGCAGGAAGCATAATAGTTCTCACTGGTGTTAGCTCAACAGAGCCAGCAGCTCCTCAAGGAGAGCCCCCTGGATCCCATTCCTTGCCTGCAGGAGAGGTCGCCCCAGAGATGAGGTGACATGGTCTGGCATCCTCCGCTGCTCCATGTGTCAAAACCAGACCCCTTTCAGTTGCTGAGAAGATAGTACAGGACAGCACACTCAAAGAGCCCTCAGCACTGAGTTGTGCTTAACAGAGTCACAGACCATGATCTAAAGCCTTTTTGTATAATGCTCACAGAAAGGCTTTTCTGAATGAACCTTCCTTAAAAAGAAAAGTAACATATGAGTAAAACAGTGATGCAGAAAAGAGTGATTCAGGCACAAAGGTGGATGTGCAGCTTGTTCTAGTCTTTTTTGGTATTTGTGATGACAGAAGCCAGGAACTTCAAGTAAACATCTAAACATGCATTGTATAACTACAATATAAAACTGATGTTAGGTATCTCTCATGCAAACCCACGACAATGCAGGCTAACAAGTGCACAGGATGCTTAATTGAAAATACTGATAGTGCTTAGTGCTAAGATCAGTTTTTAGTACAGAAAAACAGTAGTAATGTGTAGGCACTTGAAAGTTGACGAAGAATTTAAGAGTGCTTTCCCATGCTGCCTGAAAAATACACCATTCAGTTTATAGCGGTATCAAATGCTTATTTCTAGGACGTAGAAACACAATAATACAAAGGGAGAGAATGTGATCTGCATGCAGGTTAGCCTTTCTGTGAGCTATCTGCATGTCAAGAATATCTGCGAACTTCACTAACATAAATAAGGGAGGGAGGGAAGACAGAGTTTACTCCAGAAAAAAACAGCATCAAAATTGTCCTATGATGGTCATACCTATGACAAAATGAGTGAGACAATGACCAAGGAAAGGATTTTGTAGGTATTCCCACTGCTTCTCCCTAGGATTAATTATTTGGATGTACAATAGGCAGGACAACCTGGAAAGACAAGAACTAAACTTGCTTCCCAGGCCTTGCTATCTTTAATACCTGTGACTGCTGATACTGAAAAGTCAGGTCAAAGCGCATGTGACCCATCAGAGCACTGTGCTTGCCATGGCACAGCTTTTTGCTGCTGACTGAGAACAAGGAAAGACAGCTCATCACATCAGGACCCACAGGCTGTCCTGGTAACCACTAGGACTCCAGCAGCATGTGCCACCTGCAGACCTGTGTCCCCTTCGATTCCTTCATTTCCTGCCAATGACTTTGCTCTTCCTCTCCGCTGCTGTTCTGACCCATAGAAATCCACCCAATCATCTCTTTGCGCTTCATGCTGCGTCTGTTGTATATGGAGATCATTAGTGTGACATCAGAGAGCTGGAAGAGAGCAACCTGGAAGATGAAAGTTTCTTTGTAGACAGGGTTGGGCTGTCCTCGACGGATGGAGGTTTTGCAGTGAGACATCTCCTGACCCACAGAGTTGCGCAGGCAGAGCTTTCCATAAGTATCTAGGACAAAAAAGAGGAAATAGTAAGTTAGGCATAGATGGTAGAACAAATGAAAGCCCCAAGCAGTCAAAAAAACACCCCCAAAACCTCCGAGTAGCTTTGTCTACAGTGAATAATAGATGAGGGCTGGACTGCTGTCATTAGAAAATCCTTGAGATGAGAAACAGCAGGATTGGATTTCCTCATATTCAGCTGCGGAGAAAAAGGATGAAACTGATGCATGTTTCGGCCCTACTTTCTTGAAAAGAGGAGGAAACTTGGCTCCCAAGCCTAGCAAACCTGTCTAAGACTAACGGAAACTATCAGCAATCTCTATGGATTCTCCCCAACAAATGATGAATCTCTACCTTCCCCCTTCTCCCTCACAGTCAAGCTTCATTGGGGCCATCTTACCAGGGCTTGCCTTGGCTTCACTTGCCTATCCACCATTCTCCTTTGGAAGAATGCCTCTATGATCCTTATTTAATATAGCAAACTAAAAGGGTCCTGAAAGAGATGGAAAGGGAACCTGCATGCATTGTGAAATTATTTGATCTGACATGACAGTTTCTAGGTTTTTTCTAAATTCTAATTTGTCCTGATTTTGAAGGAAAGTACAATGATGTCATCGTTTAAACTTTTTTGGTGGACTGAAGGTCAGTTTTATTCACTATTTAAAGTCAATACATGGAATAAAAAGGCTTAGTAGCTACAGAAGAGGGATGGTTCAGGTCAGTGCTCCTATAAATCCACCCTTAAAACTCTTGCTGCTCCTGTATTAATTAATTTACCTCTGCTACATGATCACTAATACATTGGTCTCAGGCAGAGCTCTGTTGTCCCAGTGCTCCACAGACCCAGCTCAGTGTAAGTTTTCACCTCGCTCTGCAAGTGATGGTAACAGATTACTTGTCAAGAAAAGTCCCCTCCTAACCTCTTTGTGATCTGTGCCTGGGGATTCTGCAAGTGAGGCTTATTTCAGAGTGTGCTGAAGATAGGAAATAAATAACAAGCCTCCGTCTTTGTCTATGGCATTTCTATCCTCTTCTGTTCCCTTCTGATGTGATATTTTACGCACTTATCTACTGAGCAACACAAGGTGTGAAATTACACTTCAGGTGTGAAAACACTTCTGTGTCTCCAAAGCAGGGCTTTCCACTCCTCTCAAACTGTTCCACTGAAAAAGCTGTCAGGAGACTGGCAATCAAGGAGCAAATTGTGAGCCTGCACAGCTGTACAGCTATCCAGTTACTGCGGGGGAAAGTTCAGTCCAGTCATTAGCTGGGGGTGCCAACCTGTCTCCCAGCGTAACCCTGGAGATGAAGTAGATCTTGCCAACAAAGACCTACCTGTTAAGAGAAGCAGAGCTCTGACCTGAAATGTTTTCCTGATTGTTTCTGGGAAGGAAAGAACTGCTATAACTAGAGGTGGACTAATTCCCACAGTAATACTCAGTGTTGGCGGTGCTGAGGGGCTGAAACCTGTAACGACTTCACACACATCAGAAACACAAAGCCCAAGAGAGGAGCCTCTGTTCTGTGAAACAATGCAAGCAAACTACCAGACACAGTCTCTTGCAGAGCTTGTAGAGATGTCGCTTTGCTTTGCACTGACAAACTGTAACATGCACCATTCCTCCTGTGGAAGTCCTGGCTGCTGGTCTGAGGCTGTGAGGAACTTGCTGGAAATAAAGTGCAGAGTAGAGGTTTTATGGGTCTTTTAAATGTCTTAATATTCTTTTTTTTTTCTTTTTTTTTTCTTTTTTTTTTAAGGAGGGGATTTCAAAATAATGAAAAATCTCTGCCAAGTTGATTCTTAAATACAAACAAGCAGCTAATTAGTACAATTTCCTGTTGAAATTTTAATTTTTTTCTTTCTTTCAAATTGAAAGCTTACATTTTCTATGTAATTTCAGTGTATTTTCCAAACCAATCCCATTTATAGGCAGAAAGCTGAAGGGGCTTGTTTCTGCTGACACACAAAAGAGGTGGGTGCTGAGACCTAGGAATTTATGGAGGTGAGACCATCTCTGTTTGCTCCTGGACCAATAACTCCATTTTTTTCTAGATGTGTCCTTGGTGTTATACTGATTTCCCCATTACCCTCTGAGAACTGCTTTGCTGAGGGTGAGGGCATTTGAGTGGGATCACGGTAGGACTGGGTCAGCAAGGGCAGAGTGGAGGCATGGAGCAGCACTGGAAAAGTCCTGCTCTTTGATCTCCTGGCAGCTCCTGGGAGGGTTTCCCCAGCCGAGGACTGCTACAAACACTGTCACTGCTATCCTATCTGGCCATGGTAATGTGCAACATAACTAACAGCAGATGAAGTATGCTTTAGTTTATCTCCCCATGCTACTTGAGGGAAAGGTCACCCACACATGCTTATATCTTTTTCTGAGAAGACAGGGAGAGGACTGAAGTCTAGATTTTCCTCTCAGTTCCTTCTGACTGCTGCCAGTATTGGCAGCAGCTCAGGTGAGATTCATCACACCTAACTGCAGGCACATTCATTTGAGTGCTCCCCAGAGGAGTCAACCAATTTATAATCAATACCCCCAGAAGAAGCACAAGGCACAATTCAGCAGCAATCTAGTAGACAACGCTACCATTACAGATGATATAAGTTTTAACACTAAATCTAATACCACAGCTAAAACACTTCATAGGATGCTGTTTCAGGATGTCTCAGTTAATTTTCCAGGCAATGAATGGATGAGTTTCTTGCAATTGTAAACTCTAGGATACCAAACTTCTGACTGATGCCTCCACTGTTGCAAGTGAGGAGTAATATAGCTGGCTTTAAAGAAAAACAAGCATCACATGACCAATGACTTATATCCAACAGGGATCAAAGTCAGAAAATTGGGCTTTTTCTTTCATACACATCAGATCCACTACATAATTTTGCACCAAGGCCCTTTCTATACAGTATCAAGGTAGATGAGGATTGTGCATGTATCATCTGGATCAGGGAAGAACATGCAGGCAGGGAGGAGACTATGCCCAGGACAAAGCCAACACCATGAGCCCTTTTAATGCCCATGTAAACACAGGCACAAAACCAGTGTGACAACTAAATCAGATTGCTAACTCTTCTTAAATTTATTCCATTGGATGTATTTTACCAGCCAAAAGAATCAAGCTTGCCTGAACAGAAAAGAGTAGGTGTGGATAATTTATTTAGCATTTAAAATTTGCTTTGCAGAGCTGGTACGTATGAGGCTGAGCTGATATTCTGCTCCACTAACTACATTTTAAGACTGTGGTTTGCCCTTATTCCATTGTGCTCTTTGCAGCATCTTTTTAGATGTCTCATTAGGAAACACTTCATAGTTCTCCTTATGGTTCAGTCTGGTTCTCCGAGATAAAAAGCTCTCCCCTCCATTTGGCTTTGTCAAAGAAAAATCACCCCCAGATACACAGTGAAATTTGTGGAACTAAAGCAAGGATGAACTTGAAAATTTACTGAGGGATGTATGTGCAAGAGCATCCATTCATTATGAAGGCAAACATTTTCCACCTAATTACATCCTCAGATTCAATAATGGCCTCATTACTGTGGTATCTCAGCACTCTTTGCTCTTCAGTATATTTACTCTCAGGCCACCTCTGTCAAGCACAAAAGGAGAAGAGAGATTAAGGCTTGACATTCTTTAAAATGCCTAAGTGTTCACCTTCCATTTAGGCACCTATCCTACATGAAGGAGAGTGAGACCTCTTAATATCTGGGAATGTCTGAGACTGCAGCTTACCCACAGTTACACAGAAGCCTGTGAAGAAGCAAGAACAACATCTGATTTTGCCAAGACCAATTTTAGCACTGCATCAGGCTCTCCTTTCATATAGGCTTTGGAACAGAATTTTGTGCTACAGCTCATCTTTACTCTAATTTTTCATCTCTGGTATGACTGGATTGAACAATGTTACCATATACATAAAATATCAACACCTCTGCATTTAATACCAGAGTGAAAAGCACTAAATCAAGGAAGGCTGCAAGAAGCCAGACACATTTTGGGCTGGCGCTGCATAATCTTACTCCAGAGGTTTGGCCAAACCTCTCCTTGTGCAGACTGCTCTGTCTCCATCAATACTGCCCTAACCATAAAACACCTCTTGAGAGCTCATCTGCAAAGGCAACCACTTTATCTGTGATTCTTCTAATGACCCATTTCTGTCATCATCCTTCTAAGGGAACTAACTGAAAATGACAGCTCAAGGGAATAATCAACTACAATTTATATGTTCACATTTTTCAAGCAGGGACCGTAATGTTCATTCTGTTTTCATTTACCCTAAGTTCCACCGTTATTAATAAAGCTGACCCATGAACAAGAACACTGCAAGTACAAAAGCATCTAACAACCTGCTTGAATTTATATTTAGAAAGGAAATAAACAACCAAAGACTCCTGACCCTTTAGGTCTGTGGATTGCAGAGTACAAAACAGTGCCATACAGACTTTCCCACCCGCACACCAGGCAAGCTAGCTCATTTCCAAAAGCAGTATAACCATGTCAGCATGCCGCAATCCAGACTAATAACAGCTGCAGTAAAATAAAGCCTTGGGCCTAGAGCTTAATTTCACCCAGCTGGCATGCCCACGCTCCTAGCCTACATGATAAATGGCAGTATTTCATGGCAAAGCAGCCCCAGAGCTTGCCTCTGTGCTATCTGTACAGAACAGCCCAACACGAGGTCTCCGAGACCCAGGAGACCATTTCTTCATCAGGCATGGCATTACCTCTCCATTAAACCAGCAGTGAGCAGAAATACTCTGAACTGGATTGGGAAAAAAGCAGGGAGGAGAATTAAACCCAAGCTTTTGTTCCCAGCCTCCCCTAGTGAATATCTGGATTAGGCCAGAGGCAGGTTGCAGCCTATTCTATAAATTGTACGAGAGCTCAGAGCTGCTTGTTAAGTTGCTGAGGAGACAACCTGTCTACCCCTATTCCACCAAGTCTCTGCTGCTCAGGTCCCCTCTCTTGTGGCTGGCAGCTTTCACACAAGGAAAAGGCTGGG